CTCGGCACAGCAATTAATGGGACTTGAACAGCGGAACTTTGTAACTGAACAAGAAATTATGTCTGTTTATAGAATTAAAGAGAAAGTATTATCACATAAAACGAAGCAACTTAAACAACTTACATTGAAAGAAATGTTTAATAAAGTAAAACAAATAAATATTAAGCTTTTTTTTTTTGCAAATTTTGATACTCTTTAGATCATAATTGTTCTTTATTTCATAAATTACGGTTTCATATTTTTAATTTTAGAATTTCTGCATGCCATCTTACGAGATTTAAATTGATGACCTATAATCCGGAATCGCCGAAGTCCCGACGAGTCCAGATTAAAGACTTTTGACTGTATCTGCATTTTATAATCTTTAATTATGAAATCTCAAGACTTTCATGCTCACATTTCCAGATCAAGAATCCAGGTAAAACTACAATTAGCGTTTAGACCACATTTTAAAAAATTCAATGAAATGACATACTTTATGAAAAGTAATACATTAACTGGCACATGAATGCAAAATTAATCTCACTCACCTATACGTACTGCTTGAAATTGTTATATTGTGATATAATTTACTTCTGAAATAAAATACGTACTTGCCAACCTACAACACTCAAAAACTGAGAGATTTTTTACAGAAAGGAGAATTTCTCTCTCTCTCTCTCTATATATATATATGAAAAAGTACATAATTTAATAATGAATTAACCTTAAATAGTTACTAATTATTGCCTGAAATTGTTTTAAAAAATAAAAAATTATCAGATAAAAACAGTACCTAATTAATACTTCAAAGTTAGTTACTAATTCTTAAATGTGAATAGTACAAATATATACATATTTCATATCAGAAAGTATCTTATATCAGAAAAAGATGCACTTGCTGGAGCATATATACCTGCAAACTTTAGCATGTAAATCACTTTTGAGTTGATTGGAAATTTATGTAGTATGTAATCACACACTCAGGAGAAGTACTTTCTAAAGTGGAAATAACATTTATATTTGCCTTCCTCAGAAAGTTCTTCCATTACTTTCTTGTTGCAGACCCTATTACAAAATGTTCATCTTGTCCTGATTTCCTATTTTACCACGTATCACGAGATACAGAAGGCAAAACAAAAGTTGGTTTTACAAACTTTGATGAAATGGCTTTAAACAAATAACTAATCATTAACTGCAAAATATAAATTAATGGAATTCTGCACCGTAGACCTGCATAAGAATATTGAATGATGGCAAAACGGAGCATACAAAAAAGCACAGCTTTGTTAAGGTCCGAAAATAAAAACATTAAATATTCATCCTTGAAAAAATAAACTTATAGTACTTGGAAAATGTTTCTCTTGTCGAGCAATTTACTTTATTTTGAGAGAACTTTGTATCAGCTTTAACCTTCCAGCACGCACGTATGAGCAAAATTTACGACAAATTCAGTTTTGAATGAACATTTTTCGCAGACGTTTGAAGCTCATTTCTATTCCTCCTTTCTACCCTTCCCCACATCATGGAATGTGCCAACAGGAAGATATTTGAGTTCCCCCCCCCCGAGCTTTTGTGCTACGTGGCAGCTTTTTATATAAAATTTACGACATGCGCGCAAGTCGTGTTTTAAAATTTGGAAAGAACTTTTTTTTCTCAAATATTTTGTAATTTTGTGTTATTAATTTCCATGTATTATTTTAATTTGAATACATTTGTCTCTGTAAATTTTATATTGGTTTTCCTGGCAAAAAAATATGTGCAACCAGCTGATTTTGCTCGGATTCTTCAAAAATTATCTGTTGAAGAAAAGGAGACAAAGTAACCTTTGGATGGGAGAACAATAGTGATTTCCATTCCTTATTTTCTTTTATTTCTATTTTTTAGAAATAAATAAAAAATATTAAAGTTAGTTTAAAGTGCATTTTTGTAACCAGTAAGAAGTAAATTTTCTTGCAGAAGTAAGTAATGCTAAACTTACTTTTTTTTCCTACCAAGGTGTTTTCTTTTTTATTGTTATACTTGTCTTTGATGAATATTAAATTAGCTTCAATTTTAAATATAATTATTAAATAATAAATTTAAAATTTTCTATAATCAAATACATCATTGTATTTCCATCTCACTAGCATAAGAACTTTAAAATAATTTACTTATATTTGAACGTGATATCATTTGTATTTCGCAATAATAAGATTAATATTTTATTTCTTAACAAATTTATTATCAATATTCACTCATTTCTGTCATTTTTCGTGCCAAAAATGATAAAATGATGGATGTCGTAAAAAAATATGATGTGCGTGTGCTCATGTAAAATTGCTAAGCACGCGCGCTGGAAGGTTAAGCTTACATTTTGTAGTTATTATTTTTGAGAATTGCCAATTAAATTGCTCACAGGTGCAGAAATTATTTTTCTCACCCCATTTTTAACTGTGAAAGTAGTAACTACATTTTCATTTACTTTGGGTATTTTATAACTTTCAAGAGCCTTTTAATTTAACTCTAAAAGCATTTACTTCTTCCTTAAAAAATGTAAGAAGTGGGCTCCATTGGTCGAGGATTCTAGATAACTAGAGTGTACATGCATGTTTCAGAATTTTTCTTATTTAAGTATTATGCAGCTGTTGGAATTTTCCTTCCTTTTAAAAATGAAAACATCAACAATGTATTCATCCACACTTACTGATAAAGAAACTGCCCCCTTTTCAACTGTTAACTTTAACAGATAACAGGTGCACCTCATAATTTGCAAATCAGATTTTTTTTTCCCCCCTGCAACAGTTTTTTAGGCTACAGGTGCATATTTAGCATTGTGTTAAGCAATTATCCAGAGGAACTGCACATTATTTTTAAGTTTCAATAATTAGCCATGCTATATTAAAGTCTGTCAAATCTCCTCCTAAAGTGGGTTGTGAAGACTCTGTTAAAAAAAGAAACAATTGGATATAATTTTGCATTGATATAATTGCTTCCATCCATACAGAGGCTGTTTTAATGCAAACTGGAGATTTATTTTTCATACTCACTTCTTTAACAACGCAGCTGTTTTTGTCCTTGCAATTGAGTATCCTCAATAATCTCACTATCGGGAAACATTTTTTAGTACAACTCTGATATACGCCCTAATTTCATCAAATGTGGCGATATGCGTTCTGCATTTGTTTTTGCCGTGATTGCGTGTTGTATGGCAACCCTGTTGATGTTGAAAAATTTTTCGCAGGAGTTCGTTGGTTCGCATCATGCTCTGTGTCTGAGAAGCTGGGAGGAAAGATAAAATGAGGGAAGTTGTTGAATTCAAGTTTGGCAAAAGGAAATATCGTCGTTGCCATCCTGTTGAGGGGCAGTGGGTATTTGGAGGTGTGGAAAGAGGGTCTGGGAGATTATTTTTAGTGGCTGTACATGATAGAAGTAGGGATTTGTGATTATTTGCTATGTTATTTATTTGTAAACCATAGTATGAATTTTCTGGATAGTGTGTCTTGCTGTCATATAAATACGATAGTGATTACGTGGCGGCATGTAACAGGCAGTATGAAATTGGTATTTCTGCTGTTCGAAAAAGCATCAATTCATGGCAAGTGCATTTTATTTTATTCTTGTTCTTATTTTGTAGAATGCTATGCTCATTGTTATTTTAGTATGAATTTCTGTCGTTATTGTTGTTTTTTTTTAATTGTTTTAAATTTATTTTAGTTATTTTGTTGATTAGTGCGCACCGCCTAAATTTTGCAATTCGTAGATCTTTTTTAAAGTTGAAACAGAACGCTGTATACATGGTGTTCTTTGAAATTTATTGTTGTTATGTTAATTTATTAAAGTGAGGTGTACGTAGTTCATATATTCATTTGTTGCCTAAATTGTGCAATTTGTAGATGTTTTTTTAAGTTGAAACAGGACGCTGTGTACATGGTATTCTTTGAAATTTATTGTTGTTATGTTAATTTATTAAAGTGAGGTGTGCGTAGTTTGTAGATTCGTTTTTTTCCTAAATTGTGCAATTTGTAGATGTTTTTTTAAGTTGAAACAGGATGCTGTCTGTGTACATGGTATTTTTTGAAATTTATTGTTATGTTAATTTATTAAAGTGAGGTGTGCGTAGTTCGTAGATTCGTTTGTTGCTTAAATTGTGCAATTCATAGATTTTTTTTAAGTTTAAACAGGATGCTGTGTACATGGTATTCTTTGAAATTTATTGTCGTTAATTTATTAAAGCAAGGTGTGCGTAGTTCGTAGATTCGTTCATTGCCTAGATTGTGCCATTCGTAGATTTTTTTTTTGAGTTAAAACATATCACTGTGTACATGGACTCTTGTCAAATAATTTTGGTTAGAAACTTTACGGTTTTGCTATCTAAATTTTTTGTTTTCGTTTCGGATTTTCAGCTTAAATTGTGTGTTCAAAATGTGGTTTTGGAGACATTTTAGGCTTAAAGTTCGAAATGTACACAAAAAATTTAGATAGCAATATGGCAGCGTGGAGTTTCTCCCCAAAAATGTTTGGAGAGAAATTTGGCGATTTGAGGGCGCATATCAGAGTAGTTCCCATGTTTCTAAATAAAGCTGCCGTGTGATTTGATGTATTCAGTGGCAGGTTGCGCTCAAGTAAAAAGGCCAAGAACTGGTATTATGCATTAACGTTCTCATCCTTTGTTTGCATAGAAAAATTTAACTTTTCGCTTTTTTTAAAAATACAGCTTATGTTGTCCTTGTATTTTTGTGTACACACGTTTAAAAGCATTGACCCATTTAATGTGCAAATTTGAAATGCCAAACGATTCACATCTCAAATGTATTACATTTTCTTGAAAGCAATAATAGAAGGAAAATCATCTCTGTATGATTTTCCTTCAGAGTATTTTACCTTTTTTCAGACTAAATCTAGAATAAAATTGCATCTATGCACTGCTAAGCAGAAAACACATTTTCCAAAGAAAGAAAATCATAAGAAAATGCTTTAAGGTGAAATACATATTATGCAGTTGTTTTCCAAACCTTGTTTAGAAATATTTTAAAATATACCTGCAGCTTTTTCTTCTTTTGCCTCTTGCTCAGTAGGTGTATTAACAGCTAAGATGTCATTTAGAGTTGAGCCTACTACCATGACCTTAACACCTTTGGTGACACCAACTTCTCTCAAAGTTTTCTCATCTTTACATAAGCCTGTAAGAAAAAATAGGAACTTTAATTTTTACAGAAACTTTTAAAAATCTGACTTACTGAAAATTATTAATGGGAAATGTATTTTAAAATTTACAAAATAAGAAAATGGCAAAATTGAACAAGAAGTTTGTCAGATTTTACAGAATTTTATTTGTAAAATTTATTTATCCTAACAATCTTTCAAAAACTTTTATACGTGGAAAAGATCAACAAAAACAGAAGTTGTCAAAAAGAAAAGAAAAATATAAAAACCATAGAAGTATAAGCATCAGAACATGAAAGATGTAAATGTTTGACTATTTAAAAACCCTTCTTGGAATTTTGATTATTTATAACTGTTAGCATGCCAAACTTTCCAAAACTATACAAATAAATCTGCAGAAAAGCAAAAGTGGTGAAATTGCTGTAAAAACAGAAATTTAAAAAAATCATTACACAAAAAGTTTAGAAATGACAAAACAGTTAGCTGCCTATATTTTATCGGTTCAGATTTTTTGATTTTATCCTACTAAGCAATGTTGATGTAACAGAAAATGGTAATTATTCTAATTATGAAGATTTACTCACCTTTAAACATTACTTTCTGCATTGATGCTGGAACACCTAAGAAACAAATAATTTGAAATATACTACTTAAAAAACCTCATATATATATATATATATATATATATATATATATATATATATATAATGCATTCTTGCATACATATAAACTGAGAAACTGCATATAAACTGAGAAATATTCATGAAAAATTAAAACTATAGATTAAGTTTAATTTTATTAACTGTAACAAAACTAAAGTTTAAAAAGAGATAATACTAACACAATCTAACTTAAAATTAAAAATTGCATATAAAAAATTATAGCAAAGGTTTTTGTATTTGGCTGACCATAATTCTAAAACAAAAAAATCATGAATGAGAAATTAAATTTATTTAAAGAATATATTCAAAAAGTCCTTATAAAATTAGATCATTGAATGCATGAACACTACTATTTGGTCTTGAGATTTTTCACTTTACATGCATTAACATATTCTATACAATATGTTGCTCGTGAGGTACAGATATTATTCTGATAACTAGTAGATTTTGAAAGCATATCAAGGTAGTATATGTTCCATTACAAGTTCTAAAAGACACGTACTCAGAACACAGCTAACCATATATTCATTTCACAGCTGAACCTACAATTAAGTGTCGGAAAAACTGATACAGATAAGGCTATGCAACATACATATCAATGCCACCCACGAACAATACTGTGTGCTTCTGCCAGCAGCACACAAGACATCTGTAAGAGCTTGTAAAGTTATTTCCATCCTGAAAAGGGCCGAATTTTTAATGTAATGTAACTAGAGCTCACAGGATTGGCTATAGCATTTTGAAGGTAGAATTGACATTTGGATTTTCATGCATGACCATTTCAAAAGCATGCCTTTGTAATAAGAATTCTGTCAAATTTTTGAATTTATAACAGTAAGATCATTAAAAGACCCTGGGCAGCTTATGATAACGTTTGGAGGTTAAAGGCTGTTCAAAAACTTCAGACATTCGGTGTTGGTGGAAAAATGTTCCTTTGGTTAAAACATTTCTTGACCCAATGTTTTTGTGCTACTCGTTATGGCACCAGCACTTCAAAATATAAACAAGTTGAAACGGGTTTGCTTCAGGGCACAGTTATTAGCCCTATTCTTTTTAACATTTTTATTAACAACCTATCAGACATCTTAGAATCAGATGGAATCGTGAACACTGCCCTTTTTGCCGATGATCTTGTCGTTTGGGCCAGAGCTAAAAAAAAAAAAAAGATCAAGATGGTTTAAACCGAATCTTAAACTCTGCGCTCCAGAGACTTGATGAGTGGTGTTCTGCTTATAATATGCAAGTTAATCAGGGGAAGACTACTTAGTCAGTTTTTCTCTCTCAACAGACAACACTTTAGGAGTAAAGTGTTCCTGTATGTTACTAATGTATGAGAAGTCAGTTTTGCAGCAGACGGATGTGCCACCTATCTTGGCTGTATTTTTGACAAGCGCCTAACCTGGAAGAAAGCATGCAGGGCATGTAGTTTGCTAAGGCGGAGCGTAGATTACCTATCCTTAAACGCTTAGCTGGTGTTAAATGGAAAATGTTGTGGTAGAGAGACTCTCAACTCGACGTATAAAATGTATATTCGACCAATACTACATTATTGCTGTTAGATATTGATCTCGGCTACGCGAGATGTGATACAACGTCTGGAGGTCTTCCAAAATCAGGCACTGCGCATTATAACCGGGGCTGTTAAAACGACTCCCATTCTGGCAATGCAGTTGGTATCGGCAAACCAACCAATGACAAACCTGATTCAGAAAAATGCTTTCATCCTTTTCCAGAGACTTATTCGTCTACCAAGTAACCCTCATTGGAGGAATTATGATTATAATAAACAACGAAATCTGAAGACACAAAATGGCTTTCTGCAGTGTGTCTCTCAGCCTAGAACAGTACAATCATTTAAGAACACTGAAACCGGCACTGCTGTTTTTGCTAAATCCATTAGATTATAGCTTCCTTGATGTGCGGTTCGACCTGGACATGAAAATTGATAAGGAAATGAGTCCAGAACAAATAAGAACTATAGCTCTGGAAACAATTGAGCAACGTTTTCCGGCTGAGGAATGGATACATGTATATACGGATGGCTCTTTGACTGATAGGATTCAAGGTGCTGGAGTTTTTAGCAAGCTTTTCAGTTTCTACATACCTGTAGGGGCTTACTCCACTCACTTTGATGGAGAATTGAAAGTCATTCATGTAGCTCTCCAACAATTATCATTGAGACAAGAGTTCAATCAGGAGGGCTGCTGTACTGTCTGATTCGACTTCAGCAATACAGGCTATCTCCTCTTACCACAAGTGTAAGAACACATGCGTTCAACAGTGTCAGGAAGTTATAAAAGAACTTTCCCACAAGATATCTTTTCAATGGGTACCTTCACACTGCGATATTTATGGGAATGAGATGGCTCATATGCTTGCAAAAAAGGGGGCTACATTTCTCCAAAAGCCAAAAACGAGTGCAAGCCTCCATTCAATTAAGCTTCTGACATCGCTAACATATCAAAAGACTTTTAGAGATTTTGCCACTTGAGCTTGTGAGGGCAAGCCTTATAGTGTTCTCTCATCAAACCCAGCTTTTGTTCCTGACCACCCGCGAACAGTTACGGTTGCATCTTTTAGACTATTGACAGGACATGACTGTCTACAAAATCATTTATTTCACAATGGACTAGCTGATTCGCCATTGTGTGTTTTATGTAATAGTGGACGGCCAATGACGGCGGAACATTTGGACGAATGTGAAGTACTGACAAATTTTTCTTGTAGATTTCAGTGCTATTGGCAAGCAAGGAGTTTAATGGCCTAGCGGCCAATGTAACTGGCACTTGACAAATAATTAAAAGACCCTGGAAGAACATGACCAACATTCAATTTGCAATAATCATGTCAAACTTATGATTTAATAACTGCCTCACATAATATCAAATTCAGATCACATTTTGTAAACAGATAAATGCAAAATTAAATGATTCTGTACAGGGGTATATAATATAAAGTGTTAGAAATATTTTAAAATTACAATACTACTACACATGTTCATTATCAAATTTATACATTACAAATTAAATTAAATTTAAATCATATCAGATTTATTATCAAAAATAAAGATTTAAATGGCAAAGGCATGCATTTATCATTTCGAAATCAGCCTATAAAGCAGTTATAATCTGAAGGATGAATTAAAGATCTTACATAAGAATATGGCAATTCTTTCTAGATATCTGCTAAGCTATATAAACGATAACTGAAAGATCTTATATCTTATGGTAATAACTATCCAGATAATAAATTGCATGATAGTGTAATATAATGCAATAAGTCTGCTAAAGTACACTTCTAACACCTAGCTACATTATTGATTGGCACAGTTTATAAACCAATAATTGCACATTTAATTGTTATCTGAGGTTCAATCAAACGCCTTTTGAAACTTCCTTTAAACTTCATTCAAAAACCTTTCAACTTCATTACTACATAATAAAATATGCAGTCTGCAGTTAAAAAGAACAAATGAGAATTTAAAAATCCTTTTATCACTACTTCAATCATTTTTCAGAAAGAGACTTGTAGCATTCCTATACAGTTTATAGATTTATCACCTTCCCTTTACAATTTATACACATATGCGACAAAAATAATTATACAAAGTTATGATTAGCATTTTTCACACATTATTCACAAGAAATTATAGATCAAATAATGCTAATCAAAACCTATTTTTATGTTCTTATCTATATATTTATAAAAAAAATATTTGCAGCTTTCAACTTTATGTTTCTGGTAATTTGACATCATTCACAACACCAAATCTACAGAAAAAATTCTATAATTCGTTTCATTTAAGTCATAGATAACTTTTGGTATCTTTCACTTTAATTCATAAGTAGTTTATTAATTAGAATAAATGGTCAAATAGAAAAATGCGATAAAAAATTACAATAATGATAATAATAATGATTACCAATAAGAGTTTCAAAATGTTTTTTTAAAGCTAGTATTGTTTCATCCAAAGGAAAACAAATATCATATTTTTGTTTATTAAAAATCATTTTAAAGTCTATAAGTTCCTTCGTTTCTTCAAATGATCCAACAGGAGTTCCTTCTGCTGTTCCACAGGCACCTGAAAGAGATTAAAAAAACATACAGCACATCAGCAAATGTCTCCTCCTAAAACTGCATTTTAAAATGTGATAGTGTAATTAACATGGGGCACAAAATAATTTTTATATTTTGCATATGACAATTATGATTAACCCTCTGAGTAGCACAACTTTTTGGATTTGCTCATGAGGAGCTGCATTCTATTAGGTAAGTTTTTATAATTACTTATTTCAGCCTTTGTTTTCATTACTTTCCATTCATTAAGACAGTTATATTACTGAAGAAAGAAAGAAGGCAATTTTTTTTTTTTAAATTATAAGCTAACATATACCAAGTAACAAAAAATCCATGACCAGATATGACTGGTAATTTACACTACGTAACAAAAAATCTCATGACCAGATAAAGGCACCATGCCACTCATGGTGTTAATATCCATTTATACAAAACTAGTATGTGATAATGAGATAACATAGCATAAACCATTTTATTACTATCACATGGCATCCAGACACACATTTATGTTCATAAGTCATAAAGTTTGAATAAGATAAATGTGTTGTGCTGCCATTATTTTCAATTACTTCAATCTAATAACTAATTGTAATTTTAATAATTTATGTTTCTTATATATGAGTATTGCTAATGTTTGGACAATTATTATTAAACTGATCCAATTAAGTCTGATCTATTAACAAAATTTTTAATGTTTTTAAAATTAGGTTTATTTAAACCAAACTTTAAGCTTAACTAGATGGAAAATTTTTTGCCACCTAATGTGACAGCTCTAATAACTTAGTCAATGGACCAAGGTGTTATTGCATCAGTCAAATGAAACTAACATTCTGCTGTGTTACGTAAATTGATCAAGGAAGATTATGACCTTAAAACTTTTCTGAAAAAAATTTTCAATTCTGGATGCTATCTACAAGCATACTGCTGCATGGCAGAAAGTGAAATCCTCAATGGTAATAAAATCTTAGACAAAAGTTCTTTCAGATATGGAATAACATGAAAGTTTTTTAGGATTTGATAGACACAGAGAAATCACCAGTTTATCTCACTCAGAATGCAGTGTTCCTAGTGGAGGCCATGCGGATGCAGAAAACATTATTGAACAGCTGGAGTGCGACTGCAACTTGCTCTCATTCAAAACCTACATAGATGAGTAAACCTTTGTGCAAGGTGGAAAGTATCAAGTGAAAGCAAAGGGAAGGACAGTGGAGGATAGGAGCAGTCTGCTGGTCATGGATAGAGTTGAACTTTTATCATGTCAAGTGCCTTCTGAACTACCTGAAAGGGGGCCAGGAAATAGTCTGCTGACTGGCAGAATGACACTATGCAAGATCATTGATCTTAAAAAAAGACAACTCAGATAAGAAACAGAAAGTTATGACCAACTTTTTACATGATTTTGAGCTGTCACAGTGATAATGTTTTTGTTATTGTTTTTCATATTTTACTATACTGTAATTTTTATTTGTTGATAAAGTTGATTTGAAATTTTATTAAGCATGCAAAAATCTGGTAAGATAGCATGCAAAAATTATACAATTAAAAATATGAAACCGTAATTTATGAAATAAAGAGCAATTATGATTTAAAGGGTATCAAAATTTACAAAAAAAAAAAAAAAAAAAAAAAAAAAAAAAAAAAAAAAAAAAAAAAAAAGGCTTAATATTTATTTGTTTACTTTATTAAACATTTCTTTCAATGTAAGTTGCTTCATTTTTTGTGCTAATATTTTCTCTTTAATTCTATAAACAGACGTAATTTCTTGTTCAGTTACAAAGTTCCACTGTTCAAGGTACTGGTTCAAGGTTAATTGCTGTGTCGAGAATACCGACTCACTTGTCAATCAAAATTTTTTCGTTTTGTTTTGTCTCTGTCACTTTCTTCACTATCGGAAGTGCGCAAAGGTAAACGCTTTACGCGCATGCGTAACTTTGTGGCTTTGAGGTCTGGATTATAGATCATTCTGGATAATGGACGTCTGGATTACAGACTTTGTACTGTAATTCACTTCTCATCTTCAAACATTTCATACAATGTATGTTTCCAAGGAAAACGAAATGTTATAATGTTAATTAACCCATTTTCTTAAGGTTCAGATTACATTGTGACTACTTTTTGTTAGCCCTCACCAGGATGCAAATGAGTTAAGACTATTTATGGCAAACTTATTGACAGTTTTAAAGATAGAGCCTTTGGCAGCGATGTTCATAGTGCACTTTTTTCTCGCCCAGTTCTGCTATGTTAGTCAGCTGGCATTAGCTGTTTCCAGCTGAAGATAGACTGCACACTAAAATTTCAGCCAATGCTTAGCTAAGCCATTTATAGTATAGTCTCTGGCTACAAATCCATTTAAATTTGTTAATTAAATTAAAACTAAAAAACTCAGTGGCGTAACAGCCCTAACCCCGCCAATGCCTGCTGTGCCCCGAAATCTGCTTTCTTGACTGTGGGGCCCGGAGTGTGTAAGCATATGCCCTGAACCAGTGGTCAGCTTGTCGCAGGACCTCCAGTGTTTAGTCACCAAGCGAACTTGGTACTCATTTTATCGACCCAAAGGATGGAAATCAAGGGATGAAAGGCTGAGTTGACCTTGCCCAGCCCGGGAATCGAACCTCAGACCTGTGGTGCTGCTGCGCGATGCGCTAGCATTAATTAAATTATCTGTGACCTAGTACCACAAGTGGCTGTATCCACTTTAATCCGTAATGTGTATCTGTATTTTGTTAAATTTAAGCTTTTAATAAATATTTTTGTTTAAATTGAAAACTTAGGACTCTGTAGTGCTTTTATAAATGGAACAACAACCATGTCACCAGTCTAAGTAGTATTTTCAAGTCTTCACATTAATTTACACAAACGTGACCTTACAAGACAAAGAATTAACAGTGATAAAGCACAAAATGCAAATAGCTCAAGAAAATGGGGAAAAAGAAAGAAAAAAAAAAAAAAAAAAAAAAAAAAAAAAAAAAAGAAAAAAAAAAATCAAAATATGTTTGAAGCTCCACTTCTAGAATAGTTTCAAGCTAAAAATGACTAAAAAATGAATTGAATAAATTTCAGACTAAAAAATGACTTAAATGAATTTCAGACTAAAAAGGGACCCTACTTTAGAGTTCTAAATCTGCAAAAGTTGTAGAATCAATTAAAATGCTAGAAAAAATTTTGTATTAGCAAATGAATGGCTTGACTGATTAATATTATAAAATTTACACAATATTAAAAAACAGCTGAATATTTTTTAGTCTTTGTCAAGAAGCATTTGAAAGGATTTTCAACTGTTGACACACTGTGTGAATTTTATTTCAATATATTAATTTAGTTTTGCTTTAGTTCTGATTTAATTGCTTTTGAATTATATTTCCTGTTAATTAATTTACTACTAAGTAAGATGTTCATTCTATTTCATTTATCAGTTTCCTAATTAAATGATCATGATAATTAATTTTGCAGCATTTTGAACAATATTACTGTAATACATATATATTTGAAATGTTAATATTTTTCATTTGATTAATATTTAGTTTTAATTATGCGATGTTTTACCAAACACTAATTGCTTGAAGAATATTGTATCAATACACAGCCTTATGGCATAAGTTTGAAAATTGCTCTAAGAAACTAGTATTTTTTATTTAACTTTTTTAATTATTCAAAAAGTGTTTTTTTTCCCCCCCCCACGAGGAGAGTATAAAAATCTTACTTTTATATATGCAACATAATACAAAATTGTAAAGAATTTTACTTGTTAATTTAGTCATTCGCAATAATTGTTATACATACAATAATGAATACTTTTAACAAATATAATACTTTTTATTTATCTATTATTACTGAAACAGAAAAATCAATGAACTAAAAAGGGTACCTTTCTGTTAATGGGGCACCATTTAACATCAAAGATAAAGATTAACACAAAATTTAACTAAATGGAGGTAACCCTAACAATACACAAAACTACAAGAAAAGAATAACTATTTCGCATCTAATGTTTAATGTGCACAATAGCAAGGGTGTTATTTTTAGCCCAAAGGAGCGTTAGTCCAGAAACGGGTAATATTAGTCTTGAAACGGGATTTTGCATTGAATCATTTTGAAAGTCTGAATCACATTTCAAATTGTTGCCACCAGATATTATCATCCTGCATTATATTTAAAGAAATTAAAGAATGAAGTACAGTGAATGGACAAAAATATGGAAACACCTTGTGAAATACATGTTTGAAAAGAAAGATTGATTTTAATGAAATATGTAGGTGGCGCTGGCATTTTTGACTACTGACGCCTCCTATACAACTTCGTAAATGTGCTAAACAGTTCAGTTGTTGTCGGAGTACTCTTATGTGAGGTTGTCATTGCATTATGTCAGAGTTAACAGACTTCGAACGTGGGCAAATTGTTGGAGCACGTATGGTAGGTGCTTCCGTAAGCAAGGTAGCCGAGGTGTTTAGTGTTTCAAGAGGTACTGTATCGAAGATTTATTCCGCATATTTGAAAAGCGGAAAACATCATCTGCTAAATCACAGCGCGGACGAAAGTGTGTCCTGAGTGATCGTGACAGACGATCATTAAGGGCAATTGTGACGAAAAATAAGAAGACCACAGCTGCAAAAGTTACTGCTGAAATGAATGAAGTGTTACCGAACCCTGTGAGTACCAAAACAATTAGAAGGAGCTTCATAAACAGGGAATTGCTGGCCGTGCTGCAATTGAGAAGCCACTCATCAGTGATGCTAATGTCCGTAACAGGAAAAGGTGGTGTTTAAGTCATAAAGCCTGGACTATAGAGCAGTGGAAGCGAGTAATATGGTCTGACAAGTCTTCTTTCACATTGTTTCCCACTTCTGGCCGAGTTTACGTCTGGAGAACGCCATCTCAAGCCTATAATACAGACTGCTTATTGCCAAGAGTGAAACATGGCGGGGGTTCTGTTATGGTTTGGGCAGCCATATCGTGGTTCTCTGCTAGCCTCATGATAACTGTGTCAGGGCACGACTGCCAAGACTTCTGTGAACATTTTGGCCGATCAAGTTCATCCCATGGTACAAACTTTGTTCCCCGATGGTGATGGTGTCTTCCAAGACGACAAAGCCCCTGTTCATACAGCTCACATTGTCCAGGACTGGTTTTCTGAGCACGAGGATGAGTTGTCCCATGTCCCCTGGCCACCACAGTCACCAGACCTGAATATTATCGAACCTTTGTGGCCTACATTGGAACGGAAAGTGCGTTCTCGTTATCTGAACTTGCCACCGTTTTGAAGGAAGAATGGTACAATATTCCCTTGGCAAACATACAGGAACTGTATTTATCCATTTCGAGAAGACTGCAAGCTGTTTTGGATGCCAACGGGTTTTCTACACCATATTAAGCAAACAAACATGTTTTTTTAAAGGTGTTTCCATATTTTCGTCCAACCCCTGTATTTGCATGAATGTATGTATGTTTCTAACACTGAAAAAATTTTTACCTAGAGCCATCAAATTTTTAATAACTTAATTCTCCACCAGAACATGGGTACCCGGAAGCCCGAATTTGGAATTTGTTTTATTATCTATTTCATATTTTGTACAGATTTTTGATTAAAAACTCTATGGTACACTGTACGGGGAAAAAAATTTTATCTTAAGTGTACGAGACTGTCTATCGGAAATTCAAGAGATCTGACTGTGTGAAGAATATGATATTTAATAAATAAAGGAAACATATAATATGTTAAAAACACCCCTCTGGGCTTAATATAAAATCTGAAAGCTTTTAGACTTTTTTTCAGTATTTATGAAAAACTGACCTTGAACAGAACCTTCAGATCCAAGTTCCATATCAGATGAAGCTTCAGCATCTTCACCTCCTCCACCAGTGTCAGGAACCTTGAAACATTCATCTCCTGTTTTTTCACATTCATTTTTGCTCGCTTCTATCTTAGCTGATCCATCGATGTTTTGTTCAGTACAATCTAAAAAAAAAAAAAAAAAAAAAAAAAGAAATACAATACAAATTCAGGAAATGCTTTTATGCTGAGAAGCTCTAAATTTATTTATTTAATGGTACTTGTTTTCTGTATCAGCTTTGTTGTTTTGGCATGTTTCAGCATTGGCGGCACTGGGACCCAAATAGGCAGCATAAATTTAGAACTTAGGGAAGTGCTTGGTAGCAAAATTTAGGACTCGCAGAGACTGCATCAGGTAGCAAAATATCTACTCTCAATAAGCTTAAGTATATGTGGGAATTTATTTATTCAGGACTCGGATAAGTGCAAGAGTTACGTGTAAGTATAATAAATAACTACATTAATACATATTTTGCAAATAATGATGAAAAATTCCTACTTTATTTCCACTTTTTTGTTATCTATATCAAATACTAAAATGGAACTATGCAACTTTATGGCTGTCATTTATGAGTGACAAGATGATTATTGAAAGAGCTATATATGACTTTAGTGTTCCTGCATATTTATGTGATCAGATTATGTGCTCAAACCACTAAAATAAAAAAAAGGTGGGAAGGTATACGAAAGCAAAGCAAAAGCTGCTATTACTGAAGAAAATGTAGATACCATCAGTATCTGCAAAGTTTGTGAAGGATCTCTTGGCTAGGATAATATCTGGTTGTAATGAAAGTTTTCCGCCAAAAAAAGTTCTTATTAAAGTTAAAAAGAAAAAAACCATGAAAGCTGTAACTTTAGTGCTAGTGGTAATTACCATCCAAATATATGATTTTCTGCCAATGTTTTGGCAGTTTTTCAAAGCCTTCAGCCTAGAAACTTGGTCGCAAGTCAAAAAACAAATCAACCTCATTTTGGACGTCCTGTGCAGAATGGGAGATAGCACCAGCAAAATGTAGCTGCAGGTGTGAAAAAAGGTAAGAAGTATGAAGGAGTGATATCAGGGCTATATGGCGGGTGTGGAAAAAGATCCCTTTCGAGTCCGTACAGAGCCCAGCTGGTGAATTTACGCCAAAACTCAACTCAATGTTTTTCCTTGACAGCAGCATCAACACGGACTAACATCTCACTGTACAACTTACTGTTGAGGATTTTATCTTTTTCCAGATACTCTTTGTGGATAATACCACCACAATCCCACCAGACACAAAGCATGATCTTTTTGCTAGTTAAATTGTGCTTTGCAACACTGCCGGCGGGTTCACCAGACGCAGACCACCCCCCTTTTTTTGGCCTGTGTCGTTGAAGTAAATCTACTTTTCATCACAAGTGACGATCTGGTCCAGATTTTTGTCCTTGTGTTGATATTCGAGTAGATTAGTGAGAGCCTGAATACGTCTGTTTTTATCTGCTTGAGTGACTTGCGTAGCACCTAGTGACTAAACTTGTACATGAAGTTTATGCAATGCATAATGCGACTAATGGATATAGCACTAATGTTCAACTCCTTAGCAAGTTCTCGAGTGGTTGCATACTGGTCTACAAATTCTCGCAGGTAGGCCTTATCAACATCAGTGGGCCACCCAGAGTGCTCTGCTTCTTGAATGGTTTGGATTATTCATTTACGGCAAAGCACATGAGGGCTATCTGCCTCAAGGGAGGGATGCCTTCGTGGTCGACTTTCTAAGGGAAACTGGCTCGTATACACGTTACACATGGGGAAAACCACGAAAACGTCTAGCAGCCAGCTCGTTCGTGGCTTCTTGAATGGACTGTCACCAAAATGTACACATTCTGCAGCTGACTTTTGTAACAGAACTGGAGGTAAATGATGGTTCTAATCCTGGTAACCTGATAAATTCCATTTCAAACACCTTGTACTTAATAATGCTGTTTTACAAATGTTCTAAGCATGAGACTTTCTTTCAAATGCAAAAAATTATTTGACAAAATATGATTAAACACGCCAATGCAAACTGTCTGCGCAGATTATATTTGCGGTGACAGGAAACTTTCGCTAAAACATGATATTTATTAAACAACCAATAATATTTATTTACATTTAACATGAAATATATCTATTTATATTTGGAGAAAAAAAGCATTAATTTACATTTGTGGAAGCCATAATTGACAACTGCTGCTACAAAAGTTCTCCTAAATATGAATCCAAGTGTTAGCAAGACTTTCCTCTTTATTTTTTCCCCATTTACCTGTAGCTTCCCAATAAATAATTTCATTTGGTGACAATTTTTATTTTCCAAATATTATTTTATATTGAAGGAAAATATGGATTAAAAGATTAATGTAAAGGTTTATTTTGTAACTCTTCACTAACAGCATATTCATTCAACTGACAAAAACAATGGCTATTACAGTAGAGCACCATTTATACATTGTTTCATCTTAGTCCCATTTATTTTAATAAAAGAATATTTCTTTTATACGACGCATAACTTCAATTATAAGTCGCTTTTATTTGACTTAGTGCATTGGTTTTATATTTCACAGTCGTTCACATCTTCCCAGTTTAACAGTATCTCACATAATGTTAAAGCATAAGATCTATGCAATCGTAATACAATTTCCATTACATTAACTTAACTACCGGTGTGGTTTAATCCTAGTATCCGGTGCACACGGGATTTGGCTACTTTTGGCGGCTTTTGTGATGAACAGTAAAATCGGGACATATACGATGAGTAGTAAACGGGTATTCAAACAATGTATTATAGTTATACATAGTATATAGTGATAGTATATAGTGTATAGTATACTATCATTATATATATATATATATATATATATAGACGTTCTTTGGGTTATTTTTGGTGTTGGCGATAATTTTCAAAATCGCGCCAAGGCTGCACCGTATACTAGGATTTTACCAACAATGTTTTTCAAATAATAAATCTTTATTAAAGATTATATGAAACATTAATATTATTTCTACTTCCAACTTAAAACTTAACGTTCAGAAAATTCCTAATAATATACGCGAACAATAAATGAAAAAATTACTTAATCACAGAAAACTTTACCATACGTTTGTTTTCTGATATTTAAGGTAGCTGCCAATTATAAATGTTTCGTTTATTGTGTTTCTTTTAAAGTCTTTATTATTATAATTCATTAAACAGATGTCGCTGTTATATTACTGCTTCAGCTACAAGTACATCCTCATTTTAAATAAAAAGAAGAAGAAAATGTTATATACGTTAAACATATAACTGAAGAAATGAAACAAAACATGACAATGCAGAAGTAAACAAGATGACAACATCATTGTTAGCAAAGTTATAAATTATTGACACCTCATAAAATAAACTGAAGCTAAAATAATAGACATAAAAATTTAATTTATACCATTATTTATGTACTCCCTCTTCGTTTCTTTAACATTTTCGTCACTCGCCATGCTTTATGACACAAAATACACAAGAAGAAACGCTTCCTTCCAGCCAAATGACGGTTTACGCAGATTCTCTCTAAAGCAGCCAAATCAAGGGTCAAAACTTGCAAAGTAAAAATAATTCCAAGAAACTGCGCAAAATATTACTAATACTTACGTATATACATATTTGTAAATTTTTCCTTGTTAAAAATATTAAAACTCGTATATATATATAAAAAAACAAGTAATAATAATTATATTAATTTTTTTATTTAAACTAAGGTACAGCAAGACCATAAAATTGCTTGATGCAATAATGTGGATTAAAAATTGCACGTCCATAATTTTTAAGAAAATTACTTTTGTAAAGTTCTGAAATAAACGGCAGTTCTTATTGCTATGCAAATATGAACATATAATGCTTTTATAAATGCATTATTTATTTTTAATTTTAATTATTAAGTTTAATTTTAATTATTAAGATGCTACGTTCCATAAACGAATGCTATCGTTCACTCAACTCGATAATCATTTAAAACAATAACATTATAAAACAATAATAAAACATAAAAGCTTATTTTTAAAATAATATTTATTGCTATGAGATTAGCATATCTATTCCTCTGACACTAATTTTATTGCTGTTGTTATTTCCAACTTTAATGGAAATTTAATGCACTTATTGAGAGGGACCGAACCCATCATCTCATCATCAAAAGCACTGTGTAGGGTACATCCACGGAGTATAATGATATTTCGTTGGGTACACCTTACAAGGCGACCAAATTACCGCAGAAAAGGTTTTGTAACAATTCGTGATTATCGGTTCTGTGAGCATTCAGACCATTACGAGCCCTTACGCACGTAGCATATGGGTTCGTAATGGTCTAAAAATGGTCATCCATAGCCAAATTGGGATAAAGTTCGGAGAACAGCCTTGGTTGCGCCAATTTGGCTCCTTTAAGGATATGGGCGACATTTCATTATGCCAACGGAAGTAAATATCATGTGGGGAATAGGTGCTAGGGAGAAAAGGAAAATACATGGGGAAAATGGGATTAAGATGTGTTTATATTTGTTTGGTATCTGATTGCTAAGTTTGTTCTGTTATGTTGCTAAATTAGCATTGAACGTCGAGTAATGTTCATTTATTGCGAAAACGCAGGGCAATTACTTTTCGATCCGATTTTATATATGTATTAATATGTCACATTCCTGCTCATATGATCTACATATGTATCATATAACTAGCTACTTTTGACACTTATTTCTGGATGTGTATTATTTTATAACTTTTTCTGCTTTGAAAACCCAAGTATTGAAACATTATGTGTATGCTTGTGAAAATATCAGAGTCGTAGCTAGGGGTTTCAGCGCCCAGGGACAACTGAAGATTTCGCGCTCCCTACTGCTTGCCAAGGATGGAAAACATTTAATTTTAAAATATCGTAACATCAGTTTGTCGCCCTTTGGATTCTGCGCCCGGGGACAGATGCCCCCACTTGCCCCCCTCTAGCTACGCCCCTGGAAAATATTATTTCAGATATTCTCGCATAACTAACTATACTATAATTTCATATTATTCAGTTCTCATATAACTACGATAGAAATGTGCTTTTATTATTTACTTTTAAAAATGCAGTATTTGATAGCTTTCCACATAGTAGCCATTCTAGAATTAGTTCTGTAATGTTATATAATGTTAATTGTTTTATGGGAAACACTTCCGCAGAGAACCCGGTAAATGTAAACATCGCCACCTTTGGCGATAATAGTTCAAACCTGGTAACCCATCGGATTTATCCTATTCTCTTGTTCGAAGTTGCAACCATTCCTCATGAGTTCATTTTGTTGAATTATCACTGTCGTTGTTCGCATTTGCAGATTTATATTCTTATTCTCTTATTTATTATTATTTTTTCTGAATTTTTTAACAACGAATGGATAGAAATATTTTCGTAGATATATGCCGGTTCTCGGTTCGCGATGTAAGGAAGAAAATACGGCGGGAGGGGTGAATGCTAATTTGTAACACGGCTGTTCACGTTGTGTTCCTTAATTATTAACAGCTCTAACAAGCATGACGTTTCCAACCGCTAAAATTTGTTTTCGTAGGCCGCGAAAATGTGCATGTGCATTTTAAATAATTAAGAAATGCTTTTATTTCATTATTGGTTATTGTCATCTAAAATTCTGTGAATAAATCAATTTTTTATGGCGTAAAATTTTAACAAGATAATATATTGTTAATGCTTTTCTAACAATATCCTTCCAGAGGATGGTAGGTGTGATATAAATAGTAGATGATTAAATTGAAATAAAAAATATTGATTATCTAAGATGACAGAATAGTTCGATGCATCACCATGGTCATCCAAATTAGCAAACCACTGCTGGTGTAAGGAATATATTGTTTTCTGTGTTAACTGGAATTTAAGACAAATTTTTTTCGTATATCACGCTTAACCGATTAATTTCAGTATATTAATACTAATTTATTTTTTAAATGAATTTTTATTTCCGTTATAAATCCTCATATATTGTCTTATGCTTAATATATTCTTTTCTGTGCTAACTTGAATTTAATACAAATTTATTTTCGTACATCACGTTTAACCGCTTAGTTTTACATCTACATGCTTATTATCTGTGAATTTTTTCTACCATATGCTTAATATATTGCTTTGTCTGCTAATTTGAATTTACATGCACTAAAAATCTCGTTTACGGCTCAGCTTATCGTCGATGAAGGTGTGTGGAAAAAATGTCACCCGGAAAAAAGGGAAACGGAAAGAATGTCGCCGGAAAATAAGGAACGGAAAAAATGTCACTCGGGAAATAAGGAACGGAAAAAAATGAACTCTAAAAATCTCGCCAAATAATGTCGCCGATTGGAGTTGGGGAAACCTGCCAAATTCTAATTTAACGGGCAGGGTTATAGCGAGCTCTCTTGAAGGAGGTTTTAAGGGTAAGACGTTGAGTTGGCTGCAGTTGAGCAAGGTCATTTCGATAGCAGGTTTTTTCAACTTGACTGCGGGAAAATCGTATGTTCTTCCCCGCTTTTGCTTTTCCTTTAGGAAACCCGTTTCCTTTAGGAAACCGACCCACGTCACCCGGAAGGCAAGAATTCACGGGGAGCAAATGTTTCTCTTCTGTTAAATACCACTGATTGCCGTCTGGTGTCTTTCGTGAGTCATAATTTCTCAAGTTGATTTCGTTTCAGGAAACAGGTTGGGAGAGCATTAGAATTTCAAATCAAAACTTCAAGATTTCACACAACATAGAAATAACATTTATTAACGATAACCTTAATGATATAGTATATTACTTCCGCCTATAGCGGCCATGAAAACATAATCAAGCATCAAAAAAAGTATGACATGCGTCATTCTTCAAGTTCAAGCGTCAAGTGGTAATATTTTTCATCGGCGCGCATCACGAGCGCCACCTATCTACCGAAAAGACGGAAAATACTCCGCCCCGATGAACATTGGTTCATTACAACATTGTTATAAAGATCTTCAATTTTAGATTTAATTAAGTTTCCCAAACGTTCAACAGTATATCATATAAATAAAAATGCATAATGACAAATTTAAATTGAATGACAACATTAAATTTAGCACAAAATTTTACAAATAAAACATACTTACGATCTCTAGAAGGAAAACAAAATAATGAAACTGCTCAATTACCATAATCCACAATTGTGGTCCATACTCTGAATCTGACACATAATTGAATTAATAAAAGTAAAGACACAAATTATGAATATACAATTAATGTTTTTTTTAGAGTCTTATTCACTCCAATGGTGTAAGCGGGAAAGTTTATGTATAGGAAGCTTCATTTCGCCCAATAAAGTTTTAGTTTCACAACACGAACTTTTCCATCAGCACCAGGATATAGTTCAATTACTCGTTCCAAGTCGCCACTTTAATGGAGGCAAATTTTCGTCCTTTATCAAGACTAAGTCATTGAGGGCTAAATTTGGTTTATCCCTCAACCATTTGGTACGGCCTTTGTAATTGTGAAAGATAATCTCTAGACCAACGTTTCCAAAAGCTCTGGAAAATTTGCTGTGTCAATTTCCATCTTTCAGCAGAAGTTAGCTTATTATTTGTAAGATCAGGTTCAGGAATTGCTGTTAATGTAGTCCCAATTAGGAAATGTCCAGGTGTTAAAGGATTAAAATCTTCAGGGACAGATGAGATGGAAACTACTTGGCCTGGAATTCAAACACGCCTCGATTTGTGTAATTAAGGTGTGAAATTCTTCGTATGTTAGAACCTGTGTCCCAATAGTCCGCTTTAAGTGAATCTTCATTTGCTTCACACCAGCCTCCCAGAGGCCTCCAAAGTGAGGTGCAGCAGGAGGGTTGAAGATCCATTGAATATTTTCACCGCTCAGGTAGTTTTGAAATGCTTCCTCAGAAGAAAGTGTAGCTTATGTATCTTCTTAATTCTCGATCAGCCCCAACAAAGTTGGTTCCTCTATCTGAAAAGATTTTCTTGGGTTTTTCTCTGCGCGACATAAATCTTTTCAGAGATGCTAGGAATGCTTCAGTTGTTAGATCACTGACTACTTCTAGGTGAATGGCCTTTGTGGTGAAACATATGTAAAGGCAAACATAACATTTATATCTCGTTTCCCATCCTCCATTCCTTTCCTAGCTTTAATTAAAAAGGGCCTGCAAAATCTAGTCCTGTATTCGAGAATGTTCTATCCGGCAATACGCGAGAAGCAGGTAGGTCGCCCATTATCTGACTGGATGTGCTTGTTCGTGATTTTTAAAACATTTTATAAATTTCCAAATTATTTTTCTTACAATTTCTCGGCCATTAACGATCCAATATTTCTGTCGCAGAGCAGATAATGTTAATGTGGCTCCTCCGTGAAGGTTCACTTCGTGAAAGTGTTTGACTATCAAATTCAGTAACTTGGTGACTTTTGGGAAGAATGATTGGATACTTTGTGTTTTCTGAAAGATTCGAGTTACAGAGTCTACCACCGACTCTAAGGATTTCTTTCTCTATCAAGAAAAGGATTTAATTTCAGGATTTTACTGCTGAGATTCAATTTCTTCCCTGCTTTCAAAAGTCTAATTTCTTCTC